GTTATTGTAATGTTTGTCTGTCTGTCTGTCTGTTCTTTTACATCGCAAGTGAACATTCATAAGCCACGATTTTTGTGTCTGTGAGAGTAATATAGGCAACATATTTTGCTTAAAACCGTGAGAATTATAGTTATGTGCAACTCTGCCTACCACTTCAGGGAATAAAAAGCCGTGATTTTGTTATTGAAAACATTTTCCATGTATTACAGAGAACTCAATAGAAATTGTAATTTCAAATGGCCTGATTTTAATCAAAACTAATCGACTTCTAGCAAGTGGAAAAAGACGATGAATAATCAATCAATACATATATGATTACACAAAGTGATATTAGACACAATAGAACTCTAGCGTCTTATTAAACTTTGTCCTAATTCCATTCAATTGAATGGTTCGTTGTATTTATATGGACAATTTAAACTGTTTGCGAGTTGATTCTTACGGTTATAGATGCTTCTATAATTATTATTATTCAGATCTTAGACTAATTTGTTAGACTTTATTCTTTTGCAATAAAGTCGAATTTTGAAGATCAAATGAACGACTAATCGTTCGGAAAAGGCCAGTAAAAGACTAATCTTTTACTGGCCTTTTCCGAACTAAACAGGATAGGGTCGGCACTGAGTCTTAACCATATTCTAACTTATAATATTGCACACAGATCGACTCTATGTACGATGTTATAAAGAATAATTTCAAAATACACTTACTAAATTTTCAATGGAATACGGCAATGGGTAGTTGATAACTCTCAAGTTGCTTCCAGGCGACATAGCTTTCATGATTGCATTGTTGACATGCGCCAAAGATATCGCTGAGTCATGGTATCCGTAGTTACTGAACCAAGCTGTTATATTGCGCGCACCAAATGTAGCACCAATGGGAATTTCATTTCTTACCCTTGAGAGATCATCTGCGCTCTAAAACAGATATTTTCTTTAAATAAGCACATAAGATAGATATTGATATAGAAGACGTTACTTAATGTTTTAGACTTACCAGTTTTAAGTAGAATTTCCCTAAATTACTGGTGCCTAAATCGTTTAGTGACATTCCTGGGTACGTAGAAGTTTTAAAGTAATCCTTATATGCCATCATAGCTTTGGCTTCGATACTACCATCTGTTAAGTTGACTTGGGACATCAAGGTTTCTGTCTGTGCAAACCCACTTTCAAGACTTAAGGTCAATGGCGGCAATTGAGACAAAAATTTCCAGGACCGAGCTATCACTACCGATATTGTGATATTAATTATAGGCGTCACGAACTGTATTAAGGCAGTCAGTTTGTTCCTCATCGTGTTATAAGCCAATTTCAAAAACATTGCCTTTATGTGATTCCGCAAAAGTTTGAATCCGCGCACTTTTTGTATAGGTTCATTATCCGCTGTAAATAAAAAGATGAATTAATTTTTTGGCGAGATAATTCAAATGACCGAAAAACTTCGAGATTGTTATACTAACGAATGTTGTTGCCTAGAGGTGCGATTGCGCATTCGTTGTAAGGTCCAGAATTGGTATGGTTTTTACTTTTCGCTGACGAACTTTCTAGATCTTCTGCGCCTGCCCTATAATTGCACATTTTTATATTAAAAATAAAAAAAACAAATCACAAAAAACCCATTTACTTAAAATTCTATGTGTAAATAAAACTTACTTCATAAAAACCTCCTCTAAGCTGGTAACTGAGAGTCCATAACTAGATACACACAAAGATTCCTTTTTATCTTCAAATGCTTTGAGCATCTCCGGAAATTTACTAACATTGTCACTAGGCAAGATGTATGTTAATTCCGAACCTGGAAGTGAATGCTAATTAGTTTTAGAGGAAAATCTTTAACCTTGAAAAGTAGATAGACATAACACGGTCTTTGACCAGTCATTGTTGAAACTATAGACTTTTATGACGAATTGACTATTGTTATGTTG